GCCTCGGCCTCCCACAGTGCTAGGATTATAGGCGTGAGCCACCACGCCGGGCCAGATTCACTAGTCTAGAGATGGAACCAATGGGACTTGTGGACGAATTGTCTGTGTGGGGTGAGAGGAGGAGAAGATGATTCCAGAACTCCCAGGCTTCTGCTTGAGCAGCAGTGTGTCATTTACTGAGTGTGGGAGGTCTAGGGAAAGAGGGGGTTGGCAGGGGTCAGGAGTGTCATTTTGGCCTTCAGAAGTGTTAGATTTAAGATGCTGACACATCCACTTAGAGATGTCAAGTAGGCACTGGATATGTGAGTCTGGAGCCCTCGGGAGAGTTTGGGACTGGAAATATAAACGTAGGAGTTGTCAACATGTCTATTGATTAGATGGACAGTGTTTGCTAACAGTCCAAGGGAGGCATCTGGGGAGGGAGAGACAGCAGGGCAGGAGTTAGGGCAGTGGGAAAAGAGCCCTGCGCTGGGGGAGGGATCCGATCCTCTGTGCCTGAGGGATGAGCCTATGCCTTTCCCATAGCCTATAAAGACCTGCAGTCTCGGGAGGAGACTCGAAACGCTGCTTGGAGGAAGAGAGGCTGGGACGAAAATGTCTACTATACAGGTGAGTGCTGCCTCTGGGGGTCAGTGAACACTTACCAGCTGGTAGGAGGGTCGATGTGTCTGCTGAAGGAGTCAGCGGGAGTCTTCTCTTCAAATTGTGGTTCCAACTTATGGTATCAGTGTCCCCCAGGAGCTTGTTAGGAATGTAGAATCTCAGCCACCACCCACCCCCTCCACCCCCGCCTGCCACCCTACTGAATCAGAATCTTAACTCTAACGAGAACTGCAAGTGATCTGTGTCACGTTAAAGTTTGAAAATCTCTGAGGAGGAAGAGTCTAACCTCTTTGATGACCTTGAGCCGACCCTCTTTGGGCTGCAGCCTCCCCATCTGTAAAATGAGGCCCTTGGACTAAATCAGTGTGTTTCAGATCTTAGCCCCTTGAGGACCCCCTCACAGCTTTTGCCCAAGCAGTATCCTCCCACTACAAGTATATTCTGGATATTTTTCTTTAAATCCCCCTACTTTGTTTTTCTTTTTTTTTTTGAGACAGAGTCTCACTGTGTTGCCCTGGTTAGAGTGCCGTGGC